CAAATGTTATTGGAATTCTACATTCTGCTCCATTCTATTCTCTCTCTCTCTCTTTCTCTCTCTCTCTCTCTCTCTCTCTCTCTCTCTCCCTCCCTCCCTCTCCCTCTCCCCCTCCCCCTCCCCTTCCCTCTCCCTCTCCCGCTCACCATGCTCCTTCTCCATTTATCTAGTATGTATGGTCCAAATCAAGAATACTGTTAAGCCTTCCAGTTTCTTCTCCTGATGCAGTAATTTGAGAACCATCACATTTACAAGATACTAAATTTAGCGTCTTCTTAAAAGAGTTGGGTTTCTCTTAGTATACATCAGTCATCTTCTTCTGAACCAATCATCTGTGTCTAAACATTCAACTAGGTGCCCTGCACTAGAGGAATCATTGTTGTACTTCCGTAGTTTGTGGTTTCCCAAATTTCTGGGGGAGACACCCATAAATATCACTATTGTCTGAGTGAGGTGATTTCTACTAGGTTGTCTAATGGGGATAGATATCACCTGACTTTATCTTTCCTCCCCCTTTGCCTTATAATGAACAGGCAGCATTGCTTGGCTCACCACAAATCAGCAATCATTTTAGGATGAACACTGCTTGGTTTGGTTGTTTTCAGAGTTTGGATTTATGAAGCATTCCAACTGTACTTGGCAGCAGCTACTGAGTCCACTTAGGGATGCTGCCAAAATGCGCAGAGTGTCTTTGGCAGAAGTAGAAAAGCAGATGGTTCCATCAAATGGATCACATCCGTGGGCATTAAATTCGATTTGAACAGAAGAGTGAATAATACCTGGGAGATATGCTTTAAAGGGTTAAATAGCTCTGCTTATCACAAGCTAAGAAACTGATTATGACGAGTGTGTAACTCACAGTCCAGCTATTAAAGATCGGCAGAAGATTCTCCAAAAAGACACCACATATGAGCAGAAATTCCACACCAGAGCTTCTGGGGGCAGGAAGTGGTAAGCTGACAGATCACAGACGGAGCGTCAACCTGATCAGGAGCAGAGCAGAAAAAGCAGTGTGTGTGTTAGTTACTTTTCTGCTGTTGCGATGAAAAACTTAACAAGCAATTTGGGAAGGAACGGTTTATATTAGCTCAAGTTTACAGTCCATCTTTATAGGGAAACAGCAGCAGGAACTCAAGGCAGTTGATCACGTACAGTCCAGGATCACAGTTCAGGGAATGATGCTACCCAGAGTGGGCAAATCTTCCCACCTCAGTTAACCTAGCCAAGATACCACGCCCCACACCCCCCTGCAGATATGCCCGGAGTTCTTCTCTTGGGTGATTCTAGATCTCATCAAGGCCATAATTGATTTTAGCCATCACAGTGCATGGGACCACAAAACAAGACAACAGAACTTCAACAGGTCTCAGGTAAGCAAGTGATATCTAGGCTTCTGTGCAACTCAGCAGAGAGTCTATGAGAGGAACATTCCATCTGAACTCCTTATTTTGCAGAGACAGAAACTGAGGTTCAAAAAGGTTAGTATTTACAATCAATGCTCCAAATGCTCTTCTTCTGAATACAGACTTTGAGTTCATCAAAATGGGAAACACCGTGGTGGGAAAAATGACCTTCATGCCAGTCCATCCGAGGCGGTAGTCTAATAATACCTTTCTTCGGCCTTGTTTTCTATTTTAGTAATGAGTGCAATGCATGTCATTCACAAGTCCCAAATGGAAGAAATGCTGCTGTCAATCCTCACACAGGACTCAGGAAAAAAAAAATTTCTGCTTTAATGAAGTTGGTAAAAATTCATATGTGAGAAGTTCATCTACAGCTGTAACCTTACCATTAAATAGCATTTCTAGTAGGTATCTCCTACTGCTTCCAACACTTGGGAGGCAGAGGCAAGTGGATCTCTGTGAGATTTAGGCCAGCCTGGTCTCCATAGCAAGTTCTAGGCCAGTTGGAGCTATAAGGAGAGCCCACCTCCAAAACAAACAAACGAACAAACAAAAACAGAAATGCCTAGAATATTAATTGAAGATATCAGGTTGTCTCGAGTGGTGTTCCAGAGAAAATCAGGTCATAAGGCTCTGATTTAATGAAAGGATGTATCAACCCCTTGATGGATTCTTGGGAGTTGCTTATAAAATGGTGTTATTGAGAGGTAGTGAAAGGAAGTAGGGCCTTTGGAGAAAGCAGGTCACTGGAGGGCATGTCCTTGGCACAGCACTCTGTCCTTGCCCTTCCTGAATTCCCCTTTTCTCTGCTTCCTGGCTGGTCGTGAGGTAAAGCCATCTTCTCTACCACAAACTCTTGCCACTGTGGTATCCTGCTCAAGTACTTGGGGCCATGAAGGACCTGCCTCCCTAAAACCATGAGCCAAAATAAATCTTTCCACCTTTTAAGTTGCTTATGTCAGACACCCATTCAGACTGAGAAGAAAAGTAACTCATACAGATAGATGGCATAGACACACACAGGGTAGAGCAGGGTTGGGTCTTCCATGAGAAAAACCACCCCAGAAAGGGGTTTCCTGACAGCTGCCCCTGCAAGGCGATAAGAGTGACAGTCACACTGATAACTCCTGCTGTCTCACCATGTCTACTGTCGAGACGAAGAAAACTCCATGACCCTGAGGCTTGATGGAATCTGTCACTGGGAAGGAGCATAGGTCCTGATACCACAGTGTGGAGAAAAGTTTTCCATAGCTTAGAAATGTCCACATTATTCTCTTACTTACACAGGAAATTAACCATAGTAAGATTGAATTGCTGAGTGTTTGGGGATTATTTACTAAAGCAGCTAAAATCACCCCCATTCAATTCAATAGAGCATTTTCTTGTATAGATGCCATATCAGATATGTCTAAAATATATAATAGTCTGTGTTCCTAAAGGGATGTGTTTGAATACAGTAGTCTATTCAAGATGAGTTTGAATACAGTAGTCTATTCAAGATTCATAATGCACAGAAATTAAAGGCCTGTGCATCTTTCCAGTTACATGAGTATTTCTTCAAAGCTAAGGATATGTCTCTTTGCATAGCAGAAGACAAAGTTTTACACTAATAAAATGGCTTATTCTTTGATTCAAGCCAATGGATCGAATTATATTATTAGAGTGAGATTTCCCAAGGAACTATTGGGAATTATTTGTTATTATTTCTAACATGTTCTAATTCAACTGCTTGAAGGCCAACGAAGCCTAATTTGTTTGTGCCGACAAGAAAGCATCAAAGAATTTGACCAAACTTCAGAACTATCTCAAAAGGGGAACCCAGCTTCAAGGGTTATTAATATAACAAAGGGAGGGCAGAAACTAACAGGGCAGAGGAAGGTCCCTGACACTTAGGGACTCGTGGGGACCAACTCCTTTATTTCACTGGAAGGAAGCTGGCTTTCTTTTTTAATTGTCACCTATGACTTAAAAAACTTTTCTGAAACTCCTGTCTGAATCCTAGAGTATTTTTCACTAAGAAACCATGCACCCAATTTGAGTCCATCATGACGCCACAAATTATTTCTGTTCTGTCTCCTATGTCTAAACTATTATTCTAGCATACTGGTATGCCCAGCATTAGAAAAGAAAACACTGTCACTTGCAAAATTTGGAGTGAAACTGGAAGACATCGCCCTGGGTGAAATAAGAAAACAGTGGAATTGTGGTTTCTAGGGGGAAGGGAGAGGAAAGAAATTGGTCGGTGTGGCTCAAATTGAATAATTCAGTCTAGATATCTAAGTGTCATCATGAGAACTAAAGTTAACATTGGATTATATACTTTACATATATTGAAACTAGAGTTTTATTACCAACAACATTTTTTGTTAGAGAGACGTTGTTTTATTATAATAATCATTTCACTGTGAAAATGAATACCAAAATAGCATGCAAACCTTAAACATATACAATAATATTATTTTAAAATAATCTTATGGCAGTAAAACAGCAAGATGAGAAAGCAATTTAGAGAAATCTAAAGTTGTATATTTAAGGGCAGCCTGAGCTACGTAAGGACCTGAGTTCAGTCCCAAAGACCAACATGGTGGCAAGAGGGAACTGACTCCCAAGTTGTCTTTTGACCTTTGCATAAACCATGGCACACTCGTGTGCATGCACACACACACACATACACACCAAAAAAATTAAAAATACATAAATGTGTAAAAAATAAAGAATGCTGGAAACTCAGTCAATCCAAAAATTCATTAGATTATAAAAAAAAACATTATTTTCACCTATTTATTAATTTGGGCTTTGTTTCAATGACACACACTTTTGTTCGTTTTCTGTTATGTTTATACTGTGGGTTGATGGGCATTTTCTCTAAAGGATCAGATAGTAATCGTTTCTAAGGCTTCATGTTCATGCTATTGCTATATAAAAGCAACTCCAGATGATACATGCATGATGTAGCTAATATATGCATGATACAGGTAATGCATATGCAACACATGTTCTGTGCATGATACTGATATGGATTGTAAAAGCAGGGGGCAAGCCAGATTTGCCCCCCTGGGCCATGCTTTTCCAACCTCCTGATATATGGCAGTTTCATAAGAACCCCAAACCTCAATGACTTCATATAACAGCTAGTATATTTCTTGCTTACATGAGCCAACACAGGCTGGGAGTTCAGAATGGGAAAATCCCACATGAGCACATCTCCAATCACCATGGTGTGTCAGTATGTGGCATGTTATGCATACCAGTACTCAGGCTCAGAGTTACAATTCATAGTGTTAAGCATAAAATTGTGTACACATTTTCCTGCCCAAAGCAAGTAAAAGGGGTTTTACCTCACTTCAAAAAGACAAGAAAATATAATCCTCCAGTTGAGAGGCACTCTAGAATATCCATGAATAATAGAGTCAAAACAACTACAGCTATTGCTGTATCTGGACAGTGTAGTGAAATATTGCACAGAGATCATCCCAGAGCTGGGGACTTTGGCTGTGTCACTCTTGATGTGACGAATGTCAGTTGATAGCATGAGTTATTTTCAGTATTCATGGGTCAGTGGGCTAGAGCTGTTTACTTTCCATGGCTAGAACAGCGCTACACAATTGTTCTTACCCTGTTTATTTCAAGTCTACTTTTTGCCTTTACAGTATTTTCTTTACCGACTTTGATCATCTTAAACTATTACACCCTGCCTTCACATTGATTAAAACATGTTCACATGCTTGAACTTGAAAACAATGCATACTCCAGATGCTCTGGACTACAACTGGAGGTGACAGCTGTCTATAGAATTCAGATACCTGCCACTCTCGTGTTTATAAGATTCAATTAAGCTGGGTCATACTCTGGTATCTCATTGAAGGAAAAGGGCCAGTTACTGAACCATATATTTTATCACTTGGAGGGAAACACCACTACAGGCTTCATGGGTTGCTTTGTATTTTGGAGGCAACATATGTTATATTTGTACATAACATTATGATCCTCTTATTGAGTGAGTTAGAAGCCACCAGTTTCATATGCATTGAACAACAAAGAACTCTCTGACAGGCCCCAGTTGTGTGAATTGTCAGATCCAATGGTGGTAAAGGTGTCTGTGGTAGATAAAGTCCTATGTAAAGTCTCTGTTAATCTGCATTAGATGAGTAGTACATAGAACACGAGTTATGAAACAAGGTACTATCTAGGGTTTACAGGGCTACTGTTGGCGTGATGACTGATTCCAATAGACAGTGATTCTTTAAATATGGCACCTATATAATAGGCTGTGAATAGTCACATTTACCAAGTTACAGAGTTAGATAGTCACAATCACTAAATCACAATCACGTATACAATGGAAATCATAAATTCAAAATTTGCCCTGAATGGGTCCAGGCAGCTCCTGAAATTATCAAAACAAATATCTAAGATCCCTCTAGAGGGAAAAGGAAAAGGAAAAAGAAGGAAAGATTAAGTCTTCAACACAAAGTCACTTAGTCCAACAGGTTGGTAAAAACAGAATGGGCTAAGGCTTTGTGACATCCTTTTCTCCAGAATGACCTCAAGGAACTGTGGGGGAAATGCATATTCCTTGT